ATCATTATTACTTAGGATGTTGATCGGAGAAATGTGATAGACTATTCGCTCAAACGTTCACTGGTTCAGAAATCCGAGTTTGATTCTGAATAAGCATAACCTGCGTAAAGTCAAATCTTGATGTCCCTTGACTGTTGCTGAAAGCGGGATAAACCCAATTCCCTTACGCAGTGTTCAATAAAAATGTCGGTATTCATTAAATCAGAGCCTTAGTGTATCTGAGGCAAACATTAATTCTATGAATTCTTAATAACATTTTACATTTCGTTTCTAATCCTGATTTCAAATAGCTAGACGGACTTAACCCAATCTGTTAAAAATAAATCAGATCATTTTCTCATATACGACACCTCTCTGCCTGAAGATCTGAAGTCACCCCATAGGTCACGTCAGTTGAACTTTCTAAATCAGCCAATCAGCGCCGAAGCTTATAAATTCTCAGTAAACGTGAACGAAGCATTCAGACGTGCATGATTTCTTTGTACCTCAAAAACGAATATGATCGAGGACACATAGTGCCATTTAGAAAGTGATCAAATGTTACCAATGTTACATTTGGGTTAACACTTTCTCAGGAAAGTACAGCCCAGACGGGACTCAACCTAAAACAGTACGAGACTCTGTACTTTACTGAGAAAGTTCACCGAAATATAAAATTTGTTACATGATCGAGAAGTTCCGAATGCAAAGAAATATTTTTGATTTTATACTTCTTGTACACTAAAAAGGGAGAACCATCGAAGAAATATTTATGTTTTGTGTAAGTTTTCATTTGTACGATTCCCCAAATTGCTACAAAATGTGGTGCCGTTATATTGCTGAAGGCGGCGTAAAACCATACTCACGAACTCATCAATTCATCATCGGTAATTGCCGTTATTGAATTGGGGATATGATATATAACTGAGAATTTGTGTCAACAGGATTGCCATGCTCACATGTCTGTATTCATTTCTTCCGGCAGAAATAACTCAATAATACCGCGATGTTTCATTTCAAGAATCCTTCACAACCTAAAAAGATCCATGAAATATCATTCACATCAATTTTAAATCATAAAAGCAAGCATGCTAACTCATAGGTTTAGTGACTCAGCAAGAGGGCACGGGGTTCATAAACTTCACGACAAATATGAAAATCTTAACCCCAAACCTTAATCTTTCCTAAAAAATGTCCAACGTTAATATTTATAGAACAGCCAAATCACCCAAAACATGCCATCAGTGAGATAGCAACGTATCTTTAATTTTACTCATTAGAATCCCTGGGGGATAATTCATGGAACTCGGTGTCTCTTTGCTGTCACATCTGTCAAATCTAGGATATTTTACTGTGTCGTTTGCGACGGAAAAAACACCAAATTGCATGTTTAGCACCGGTGAATAACCGCTTGTTTTATATGATAACAGACTAGAGACAATTCGTACATGTTCGGATCAATAGCAGGTCGGGATTGGCATCTAAACACAGGCGTATTTGAATCAATCTTAAATCAGCTGTCAGGTTATCGGCCAAATTCAGTCACAGCTGCAGGGAAATATTCATTTTTACGCAGTTATCGGCCTTTGTGAATATTTGCACAAGGAAGGAATGTGGTTTATTTTACTGGGCTCCTGTCTACCTAAACAAGTACGCAGTTATCTCCCCTTCGAAGTCTTCTCATATCCCGAGGGTGAAATATTTTCACGCTGGCATCTGACCTCCTCCGTTATTCTTTTGTTCAGATTGTACATGTTCCTTCGCTGAGGGTGGAGTTGACGGTGTTTGCAGTTTATATGATTATATCTTTAATTTAAAGACGAATTTCAATGCCTTCGCTCTGATCACCGAGCATGATCTAATTATTGCTATTGAACGTTGGGCTAATACTTTCAATCTGCATGTGTTGGACATTGTAAGAGCGCTTCAAGCACAGCCGATTTCGCACTCCCGACACATTTGATGTTTAGTGGTGTATTTTTTACAGATTTAGATGAAACACATCTTATGATAGCCAGAGAATAATCAGTCTTGATTATCTCCCAGATTTCATTCGGCGCAAAAGACAATAGCGGTGAAAATTATATTAATGGATCACTGAAAAAAGTAATGACACCAGGTGTTCGCGAAAAGGGTAGGATTTCCTCCTATACCGGGAACACACACAACTTTTACAGTTTGTATAAATAGTGTGTGTTTTGTTGCCTTACGCGTCATTGCAATACTCTGGCGAACGAGGTGTCATAGAATCCCAATGCGGACATCCTTACAATCCCAATGCGGACATCCTTACAATCCCAATGCGAACATCCTTACTATCCCAATGTGGACATCCTTACAACCCCAATGCGGACAGCCTTACAATCCCAATGCGGACATCCTAACCTTACTATCCCAATGCGGAAAGCCTTACAATCCCAATGCGAACATCCTTACTATCCCAATGCGGACATCCTTACAATCCCCATGCGGACATCCTTACAATCCCCATGCGGACATCCTTACAATCCCAATGCGGACATCCTAACCTTACTATCCCAATGCGGAAAGCCTTACAATCCCAATGCGAACATCCTTACAATCCCAATGCGGACAGCCTTATAATCCCAATGCGGACATCCTTACAATCCCCATGCGGACATCCTTACAATCCCAATGCGGACAGCCTTACAATCCCAATGCGGACATCCTAACCTTACTATCCCAATGCGGAAAGCCTTACAATCCCAATGCGAACATCCTTACTAACCCAATGCGGACAGCCTTACAATCCCCATGCGGACATCCTTACAATCCCAATGCGAACATCCTTACTAACCCAATGCAGACAGCCTTACAATCCCCATGCGGACATCCTTACAATCCCCATGTGGACATCCTTACTATCCCAATGCGGACATCCTTACAATCCCCATGCGGATATCCTTACAATCCCAATGCGGACAGCCTTACAATCCCAATGCGGATATCCTTACAATCCCAATGCCGACATCCTTACAATCCCAATGCGGACATCCTTACAATCTCAATGCCGACATCCTTACAATCCCAATGCGGACATCCTTACAACCCCAATGTACACATCCTTACAATCCCAAAGCGGATATCCTTACAATCCCAATGCGGACATCCTTACAATCCCAATGCGGACATCCTTACAATCCCAATGTGGACATCCTTACAGTCCCAATGCGGACATCCTTACAATTCCAATGCCGTCATATTCACAATCCGAATAATGACATACCTACAAAGGGGCGGTCGGGTAGCCTAATGGTAAAAGCGTTCGCTCGTCACTCCAAAGACCTGGGTTCGATTCCTGACATGGGTACAATGTGTGAAGCCCATTTCTGGTGTCCCTCGCCGTGATTTTGCTGGAATATTGCTAAAAGCGGCGTAAAACCATACTCACTCACTCACTCACTCACTCAGCCACATACCTACAAACACACGATGTGGCCGAACTTACAACAACACTATTAGTTGACCAGGTACCATAGTGACCCTATCTTCCCACTGAAGGCATCACGTGGTTGGTCTGATCATAACCTATCATCAATAAATACACCAATGGAGACACACGCTCATCCATCGCCTATTTGCCTTTGTTGAAACCTTGAGCTATTGATTCCTGTCCTCAGTCAGTGAAGTGAGGGTAAATACGGTATTTTATGGAGTAGATGCTGGTCACAGATAGCAGTGGTGAATGAATCCATCAGGACCCCAGCTAGGTCATAAAAGCATCTCCCCGTTTGATCTGTATTGGGGCGGTGCATTTACTAGCAGGGAAGCCCAAATGGCAAATGTTAAGACTGAGAACCTGTTTAAAATGTACCAGACATCAAACGACCAAGCCTATGTACATGTTTTTCACTATTATTTGCAGTAATTGAAATCTGTTTATGAACGCTCTCTGCAAATTAGTGAAGCAGAAAAACGGAATCGTCGTCAAAGCGATGCTGTCAATCAACAACACATTACATGTTAGGAAGGAATGTAAATTCTGGAAAGGTCTGAAGTGTCTTGCCATAACGGCGTGGTCTATGGTCATTGTTGATAAAACTGGACAATCTTTTCGTGTTGTTCAAAGTAAGTGTTTATAGTGGACAATTTTCGTGTTTTATTTTATGCGGATTTCGCTATTCTGGAATCTTCAGATGTTTCTGTGTTGGCTGTAATGTTTATACTTCTGGTGTTCCTAGTGTGGTGACCTTGACTAGGTCACGTGATCTATGCACGTCCGCTGCTGCGCGGTGAGTGAGTGAGTGAGTGAGTGAGTGAGTGAATGAGTGAGTGAGCGAGTGAAGTGGGTTTATACCCGTGTCAACGTGTCAGGTTATGCTCAAAGATAGACCAACGTGATGAAGATTATGCCGTTTTCCACTGATGAAACCATCGTGTTTGTTGCTGATCCTGTTGAAAGTATGGGACGAATCTACAAAGCGTATAAGGGCGCCTTGTACAATAACCCGTGGTGATTCCGGTTAGAGCTAGACCACAGCAACATATACTGGTCCTAAAGTCGATCAAATGGATCGGGTGATTAGACTTGGTTGATTGCGCGTCATCGTACCCCAACGGCGTGAATTATAGTGCACAATAACCAATCAATGGACTGTCTGGTCCCACAACATTCAACTGACAGGGAATCGAACCCAGGCCTTCTGCGTGACTAATCACCTGGCTGATACAGTGCCACCAAGCCCCGATGGCGTGGATAGTTGCTCCTGCCATCAGTCATTGGATCGCCTGGTCCAGACTTCACTAATTACCGGCCGAAGTGAAATAGCTGGAATATTGCTGAGTGCGGCGTTAACAACCTTCACTCACTCACCTGACGAGAACGCTTTGGCAATAAATCATCTTGAAGAAAAAAGCAGGCAGCAGTTGTCATTCCCAAATATTTCATTCATACACTTGGGACACTATCACCTTCCGTTCCAAGAAACTAGAAACTAGAAACCAAGAACAGGTCTGTTCCCTTTTTTAGTGACGCTCCAAAAAACGAGGGTTTTACTTACTTTCATATATATTATCATCTGAGCAAAGGTCCCTTAAGCCTTGTTCCGCCCCCTTCAAGTTCTGCTTGGTCTGGTCGATCAGCTTGTGTTTTTCCGCGGGACACCTGCCTTTCAGGTGGTCCAGACACTGCATAGCTTGCACGAAGGAGCTGAAACAGTCAAAAAAGTACACTTAATACCAGGACATATCCCCAATAAGGAACCGATTTCTCAATCATATGTTTGTAGCGCCAGAATTTACCCTCAACAAGGAAACCTCCGACCCAGCATAAACAGGAAAAGCAAGGATACACAAGAATTCTTCACAAGAATTGGGTTTCACACACTGTACCCAACTGGGGAATCGAACCCGGGAGTACCAGAGAACACTTTAACCACTAGACTGTGATATCAGTTTCAAAAGTATTTACGAAACATCGTCATTGGTACCCATCAATCTCGTAACGGATTCTCAAAAATAATGAATATGTTACAGAAGATCATACCCTTGATATGGAAACAGATTTTTCAAATAGAAGTACGATACAATGGCATGTCTTTCTTATTGAACAGACTGTCAAAACATACATTTAATAGTATGTCGTGTCAGGGTGCACGTTAATGTGTACCCCTATTTCACTCGCAGAAGTTCTTTCACGGCATGCGCTTTACACAGACAGCATAGAAAATCTGACATTTATTTTTTTCTGCTTTTAAAAAATACATGTTTTACTCTGTGTGCAATATCAAAACGCTATCGGATTCCGTATTGTCAAAATAACGTACTTAAGGGCAGAAGTCTTTATTGACAAAAATATCATTATCATAACGTTGATAGCGTGTGTAACATAAACGCCATGTTAAAAGATAACGTCAAAATCGAACATAATTCGATCCAAACTATACATCCCTGTCAGCGAACCTATTGCCGCCTGAACTATAAAACTAAGTGCAAAAGTGCACCATGAACAAACTGTAGATTGGTGCATTATTACCATTTAGCTTTCACCCCAAAGAGCAGATTCGTTTTTACAACAAACCACCCACAGCACTCGGTGCCCGGTGTAAGAGGCGCTACTGAAACAACGATCATTTTATCCGTTTGGGGTCGGATGATTGAAACAGTGTCAAACATTTACTGACTTTTAAATCGATTTGGAGATTACATCGTCATAAAACGAGTAGAAAGCGACTTGGGGGGACCATGAACGAGAACCGTGGATTAATTATGACATTTATGTAGTCATAAACCACAAAAGGAATCACGATTGCATCATTTTGGCTGTGTGGAAAATGTGGAGGGCTCGGAGACCTGGCGACATTCTTGTGTCTAGACAACGATATTTTAACAAGGAAACACTGTCAGTTCTGTCAGTGACTAAGCCATCATGAAATACATTGGGGTGTTCAGTTATGAATGAATGAATGGGTTTTACGCCGCTTTAGCCATATTCCGGCAACATTCCGGCCCGGGACACAAGAATTGGGTTTTACACACTACCCAACTTGGGAATCGAACCCGGGGGTACTAGAGAACACTTTGACCACTAGACTGTGATATCAGTCAATTTCAAAAGTATTTACGAAACATCGTCATTGGTGCTGATGGCAATAACGTACCTTAAGTCTTGAACATAACCAAATTGATCACATAATGGGGTAGTGTTATCGATGCGGGACACCAATCCTATAAACGTGGAATCACGATCCGATAAATATGCAAATGAGGTCAGCTAGCAGGAACTACCCTCAAGCTCCATACATCAATGCAATGCCTTTTTTCACCATGCACTAATGACTGACACTTCCGATATGCATGCGAGGGGTTTCCCTGTGTGTCACTGTGTTTCTGTAGACAAAGATGGCTGCAAGTATTTGGCACTATATGATAAATTGAACAGGTCACTCAAACACTGTATTAATACACGTTTTCTAAACGTTCTTCTGACTGAAATTACGTCTTAAACATCGGTTGTTGTAAGAATGACATTAGATGACGAAAATATTATTACCCCAGTGTGCTTCCGTATCGTAAATATAATATTAGGATACGGAAAAGCGTTCGGGTCATAATCACTATCTCCATTATTAAATTCTGAGGCAGTGGAGGCAACCCGTGAATCCAAAGTGCCAATTAACATGATTACTGGTACTTGAAAGTTAACGCCATGTATTGACGCAGGGAAATAAGTCCTAAACGTTTACAGCAAGTGTTTGCGACCGAAACTTGTCGTAAGAGCCATCTTCAATAAAGATCGGTTGGTCACAATGCACGACATGGTGATAGTGAGTGCGCCATCTACCGGGTGTTTCGTTTCTCATGTCGTCGCTTTGTTTGACCCAGATTCGAATATGAGGTCACCGTGACATAGTTGTTTCTTTTTACTCACTCACACAACAGAGTGGTAACCATCTTCGACCCGCATCCGGGGCGGTCGGGTAGCCTAGTGGTTAAAGCGTTCGCTCGTCATGCCGAAAACCCGGGTTCGATTCCCGACATGGGTACAATGTGTGAAGCCCATTTCTGGTGTCCCCCGCCGCGATATTGCTGGAATATAGCTAAAAGCGGCGTAAAACCACACTCATTCACTCACTCACTCGACCCGCATCCCTTTTTTTCTCCAATCTGACAAAAATATTTTTTAAAGCGGTTTTTAATCTCAAAACACCCACTTAACTTTTTATACGAATTAATTTGATGTGACCATGTACAGTTGTTGTCAGATGATGATTAGATGATATTATTCCACTTGAGAATTTCAGAAAGCTCAAGGTAGACCTTACATATTACAGAACCAGAACACTCCTCACACCGACGGGTGGAACGCTGGCGCCTCAGAAGGAGGTCTTCAAGTCGTTTAGGGGCGGTCGGGTAGCCTAGTGGTTAAAGCGTTCGCTCGTCACGCCGAAGACCCGGGTTCGATTCCCGACATGGGTACAATGTGTTAAGCCCATTTCTGGTGTCCCCCGCCGTAATATTGCTGGGATATTGCTAAAAGCGGCGTAAAACCATACTCACTCACTCAAGTCGTTTAGACAATACCCTGCATATAATTTGAGTCGGAGGATTCCGTAGACTGCCTGAGCAACAAGTCAATGGCGCAACGATACTCATCAAATAATTAGTCGTGAACTGTGGGAATAGTATGCTGGAAGTCCGTTTAAAGACGGCAGACAAGGGTGCCATCTTGTCTGTGCACAAGAGTCGGCCACTTGATGAACTAACGCAAGCACTGGTGGGCTTCTAATATTGGGTAATGAGTATATGAATTAAATGTTGGATGTGGAATTATATTGTTAGATAGGGCTCATCATTCTGTCCTTTTTATGCTCTTCGCTGCAGTCGAGTGCTGATTCGTTTTATGAGGCAATTGGCTCAGTGGGTTATTCAATATTTTTGAGAATCTTTCTATAAACATGGCCGTTTCCGTTCTGTTTTTGTTGAGATCAGAAAACATGTCTTTTGATGTGAAATAAGATTCCTGTAATCTAAAGTAAGGCCTGAAAATGGAACTTCAAAGTGGTGTCTTTTTAGACCTGATATTGATATTTCAATCTACCAAAGATTATATGTTTTTTGAAATGATAATATTTGTGCGAATACGAAATTAATTTTGACCAGATGAAGTAAAACCTTCTGGCCGCCGGAACATGGATGGCTTTGAGTGAGTACGTGAATAAAGTTCAAAGCGTCAATTGGCGTAATGCCAGATATATCACGGTCAAACCAGTGATTGAGAGCATGAGCACAGATCCACGGCTTCGGGGCACGATGAACTGCATCACCAAAGGAGTCTGATCGCCCGATAAGATCATCGGAGACAAGGTATAATAGGGATTCCCCACGGGTAAAATGTCTTTGAAACAATTTACAACCTTATAAGTCTTAAAGATGACGGAGAGGTGTATCATGTGAAATCTAAGTATATGGCAATTAACACATGCAGTGCCGGGTTCCCAAGCAAAACGTATTAAATTACTCAAAATATGCTGTTAGGACTAGCAGAGGTAGTATAATCACCAGTCTGCGATGTTATCGCGGGTACCTCAAAGATGGGACACTGTCCTGAGTAATAAGGGTTAATCCAAAATGGCAGCCTGACTGTTTTCGGTATAGACCCCATCGTCCCAGACGCGACCGATACGAAAACACCCAGGTCGTAATTGGGACGAAACAGATCAAAATCAAATTCTTGCCACTAAAAATTTGGCCTGTCTTTAGCCATACTTGTTAGATTTGTATCTCTTATAATGTCTGGAGCGCTGGAAAAGATAGCGATCGCGCGAAGCCATTTTGACCGCCATGTTGTGTTTCATGCTGAGCTATTCTCAGAATAAGTGATTCGGAAGATCTGATTTAAAATGAAGGTGCGAAGAGTCTGGTTTTAGATTGGCAGACCGTGACGATGATTAATTTTTTATGATGTTCCGGGTTGTAGAGGGATTGTTTCTTTAACGAGAAATGTCTTTTAGGGGCAGATGTAGTCACCTGTTGATCACGTGATTTGTAGACACTGGGAAGCGGTTAAAATTTATGACACCAGCAGCGACGCTCATGTTGGTACTACAAGTGCGGCTTTATATTTAGATTAAAATTAAATTTAATTTGATTTTATATGTCAAAGTAATATTTCGGACATATTTCGGCCAAATTCAACTGTTCAAAATTCGGGAATAGACCCCAAGCATACACTCATGGAAACTGACCCTGCTAGCGTCTTCGCTAAAAGTGCTCCGCAAATTTTACTCAAATGTACATTCATTTGTAAAAGGCCTCAGCTACGACCCTGTTAAGACGCTTATGTCTTGATTCTGGTAGTGGTATTTTCATAAATTAAATTATAACACTCATCCAGGTAATTTGCCCAGATCCCCGACGGTCAATTTCTGACCCGACTGCCTTCAGACAAGGGGGACGCCATGTTTCTTTGTAGGAGCGGTCCTCATGCAACAAGTTCTACTTCACCAAATCAGAATCAGTCGTTCAACAAGCAGTTTTCGTAGAGCCTTTAATGCAGAATGAATCATCTGGCAGCTGTGATTGGATGATTTTGTGTAATATTTTTGTCTTTAAAATGTACATCCATCAAGTAATTAAAACTGGCCATGTTTTCCTATATGTAGTGCTGTCTTTTTCAACATAAGGACTTATGCTGAATGTGACACCAGA